AAAAAAAATACCAATCAGAGCAAACACGCCTAAATAGTTTTTGGAATTTCACAGACTATGATCACTAATAGTTGCGTAAAGAGAGGTTGAAACAATCCCTCCCTCATATAATATTAATAAAGGAAAACGTTTGTGATCTCAAGAATATAATGATTTGAAGGTAGGCTTGTTTATAATAATTTCATGAACATCTTATTTCGTAGTGGATTACAGATAGCATTATATCAATTGTACACAATAACACTTTTTCAAAAGATCTCTGATGCTTAATAAACTCATTGAGGAAAAGAAAGAAGTCTGTTGTACATGGGTTTCAGGGAACATGACAGATATTCATCCTACTTCTTTTAAGGCTAAGTTCTTCACAGACATGTACATGGATGTGTGCAGTTTGAAGTGCAAGGCTACCGACAGCTGTGTCCCCATGTCTCCACTGGAAACACTATTAAAGGATTCTAACATAGAAACCCGCACTATCAGAGATTCCTACACTTGCCTATTCTTCAGTATGATATATCATCGTTTGGAATTGATCCTACCTCTGGCCAGCTTATCAGGGAGCAAACAAGTCAACCGATATACAAAATAATAAATGGGCACAAAATTGATACATTGATCAGTAATGTTAATATGTCTGTCTACATACACTTCATTTTCCTATGACACTTTTTTTAAGACCTCAGAAATGGCCAACCTTGAACAATCAAAATTCAAAGAGAGATCTACCTCTCCACCATTCTTTTATGCATAAATAATTATCCATTAAGACTCCTCTCTCTGCATTTGCAAAAGTGAATTTACTTAATGGAAGTTTATTCTTAATAAATCCTCCCAATCTATAAGCTGCTGCAAGAATAGTTGTTGATTTTACTGCCACTTACTAATGTGACTACAGTATATACTTTCCAGGATCACACTATAGGAATTAAGGGCAGAGATTCGATGCCTTAAGTACACCTCATTCTCCTGTGATGCTTCTTGTCAGGCTTTGGGAAGGACAGTCCATGAATAAACATCATTCAAAGGGAGATTCACCTCTTCTCCATCATCTTGTGCATAAATATCCATCCAGCAGGACTCCTCTCTGTGCATTTGCAAAAGTGAGCTGCAGTCTGTGGAAATTTGTGCTTTAAGAAAAAGCAGAACAAAATCAAAACACCTTTGCTAATTTTTAAGATGTTGCATGAAAATTTGATGATTTTACTACCAGACAGTAATATGATTAGATCCTTTCCAGGATCAAATTATGAGAATTCAGAGCAGAGGTTTTTGATGGAACATTAGGTAGGACTATCAAGTGTCTTACAAAAGGATGACACAAAATGAATGAACATGTCCAAATAATGTAATTAATCCATTTGGTCGGGGGGGGGGGGGG